TAATGCCTCATGGGAGAACACTTGCTTGGCATGTTCAAAGCCCTGGGGAAGATACCTGGCACTTTCAGCAAAAGTAAAAGGATATGTACTACTAAGTGACTTTTACTGTTTTATTAATAAATAAATAAAACCCAGGAATTAAATATTAGGGATAGGGAATAAACCTGAGAGATCCACGGAGCGATGGAGAAACAATCACGTGCTTTCTTCTCTACCTTCCGGATTCGAAAATCCTCGTCTTCTCCTTCCTCGTCTACTCCTTATTCCTCCTTTGTGTCCCTCTAGCTTCCTCTGAGTCCACCAGGAAACTCTGGTCAGCTCCGCCAGCTGAATGTGTACTCTGCCCTCCAAACCAAGGTCCAACTCCATTAACAGTATTGGAGCGCTAACACAGACAAATTTCCCACAACATACTACAAAAGAACAGTAGGTGAAAAGATCCATAGAAGACAAGAAAATGTATGCAAGAAATGTCATTTCTCTAGATGGTGGTATTTGTCCTATAAAAATACATGGACCTAATTTTTAAAAAAGCAGCCAGCAAACCAAAGGATGATTAACATTACTCATAGTCAGCTACCATTCCATACCTACTGTTTTTGGTGATGAGGAGAAAATTGGGACTATCAGCCATTCATTCCTGGTGTAAATTCAAAGTGGTACTGGTGCTTTGGAAATTGGCAGCTGTTCAAAAGCTTGTGGAGAGTTTCACTCCTGAGTATGTACCAGAGAAATGTTAAGTGAATTTCTGTAATAGTGTGACTTTATGATAGCATCTAAATCAAAACAACCCAAATTCTGGTATATTCAGAGGGTAGAATAGCAAAACAAAACAAAACTAAAACCACCCTGGAGAGTAGGAGTTGTTGAAAGCATTCTGAGTGAAATAATAAACACAGAAATGATTGTTACCCCTGCCCCTTTGAGACAGTATGCCCAAGTTAGCATAGGATCCACTGTGTTCTGGCAGGCCATGAACTCAATTCATTGCCTCAGGCTTCTGGAATAGAAGGCTTGAGCCACTACACCAGGTCATATAATGGTACAATTCTGTCCCCAGGAAATGCTTAAAATAGGCAAATCTATAGACAGGTAATAAATGCAGAATTTCTTTTAAAGGGGACAAATTCTCTAAAATTGACTGATAATTGCATAATTTTATAAATATGAAAGCCTACAAAATAGTATTTAATTTTATCTAGGGGAGAGAAAGATGCCTAAGTACACATTTTCTTTTGTGTGGAGGGGAATGGAAGATGGCGGGGAGGGGAGTAGTGTGCTATGGCCAATGTGTGGACAGCGTTTAGAAGTAAGTCCTCTCCTTTACCAAATGGTTCCTGGGTACTCTGACTGGGTTTGACAGGCTTAGTGGCAAGTTCCTTTAGCTGTTGAGCCATCTCTTTAGCTCTGAAATGAATTTCAACAGGATCTTGCTGTGTATCTTTGCTCTAGAACTCACTATATAGACCAGGCTGCTCTTAAACTCACAGATCTGTCTGGGTCTGCTTCCCAAGCACTGGGAAAAGGCATACACCATCATGCATGACTACAGTTTATTTCTTAATAATCCATATCTGTGTGGGTATGTATGCAGAGTACAAGTACCCACAGAGGTCAAGAAGAGAGCATCATAACCTCTGGAGTTGCAGGCAGTTGTGAGCTCCCCCAAATGGATGTTGGGAACTTGAATCCTTTGCATGTACTCAGAGTGTTAACTGTTGAGCCATCTCTCTAGCCCCTTAAATTTAATAAAAAAACAGGACTGAGGTTGTTAGAGTTCTTGTTTGCTTAACCTAAGTGAAGATTAGGATGTAACAATGTGTTGGACACTAATCATAATCTTACAGCTGATTTCAACAACCCAGAATATAGAAGCAGGAGAATCAGAAGTTCATCCCTGGCTACTAAACAATAGTCTAGGCTACATGAGATCTGCCTTAAACAAAAAATACCAGCCTGCCTCCTTTCTTGGAGTACTCTTTTTCAAATATGCAGGCCATTTTGGCTTATACCATTAAATGTAATGTTTCAGTATCATAGATCTGCAGGCTTTTATTTCTCCATGTATGTATCATTGGGAAACTACATATAAATGTAATTTGCTCTTTGGGGGTTGTCCCTCACCCTTTTATGGTCAAAATTAATGAATCATCTGAACTTAAAACATACGCCGAGACCAACTATTCCAAATCTTCCTTTTTATGGCCTTAAGTGTAAGTCTGGCAAAATTTAGAGAAAACATTCCCAGTAAGAGATTGCAGCTGGAGAGGAGGTGGTGCCAACAGCAGCGTGTAAGGAGAAAAATCAAGAGTGAGCTCTCATTTCCTACTGGCTGAAATATACAGCTGTTGGTGACAGACTGCATTCTTTAGTAGTGACTTTATTTTTCCTTCACCACAAGCCAGACTTGTACTATTTCCAGCCTTGGATATTATTTAGGCATGTCCCCATTTCATTGTGTTAGTTTCAGAAATTGTAAAACTTCTAACTTGAAAAACAATTTTTGAGAGAGGGTCTATGCCAAGGATGACCTTGAACTTTTGATTTTCTTGCCTCCACCTGAATTGCTGGGGCTCCAGGTATACTCTACTACCATGCTGGAATTGAATCCTGATTGATAGTGCAGACACATTTTCTTTGTTGAGGGGTGGGAATGTAGACAAGGCTTGACACAGGGTCTCTCTGTGTAGGCCTGGCTGTTCTAGAATATACTGTGGCCTCAAACTCAGACCCTCTGCCTCTGCCTCCCAAGTGCTAGAATTAAAACCACATTTTACATTTTCATTTGTTTCTTTCTGCATTTGCTCTCCAGCACAACAAATGTTATATAAATTTTTTTTAGTGTGCCTGAACTTCTTTTTGTTTTTTGAGGAGGAGGAGGTGGGTATCTAACCCAACAATTTTCCTTTGCCCTGTGTGAGCATATTTAGTCACCATATTTTACTACTTCCTGTTCATTTTATATTGCTTTCTATACTGCTGCATGTTTGTTTTTTCATGACAATGTTTCTTTGTACAGTGTTGACTGTCCTGGAAATCACACTGTAGACAAGGCTGGCCTTGAACTCACAAACTGGAGGAACATTTTAATTTAAAATTATCTCTTGAGGGCAAATACTTTTCAAACTCCTCCTACAATGCAGATTCCTGTGAGAAACCAAGTAAAGCCTTAAGGAAAATATTGTTTTGAAATTTACTTGCTTCTCCAGTTGTGAATATCATTATCTCAATTTGTGTTTGTAGAACAAATGTGTTATCCTATCAATGGTGGTTGGGTAAGACTAATACATTGCTTGGGAAGCTCAAACAATAGGCCAGCCTGGGCTTACATATGCAAGACCTTGTCTCAAAAATGGGGAAGTTGGGCATGAGGTGGCTGAGTTCAATCCCATGAACCCACATATTGGAAGAAGAAGCCCAACTCATTCAATTTGTTCTCTGACCTCAAACACTAAATACAGAAATACAAGTAAAGGGGAAAAAATCAGAATAAGGGAAAGGAGGAAGAGGAATCAGAGATGAGCTAGCCACCTTGAGTGACTAAACGAGGTCATTGTAGAGTGGCCTAGACACTGAGTTCTGTACTATTTGTGCTCTCTTTACCTCTTGTTTATCTTTATTTACTTGAGTTAGGTCACACTATGTATCCCCGGCTAACTTGGTATAGATCAGGCTGGTCTTAAGTTGGAAGAAATCTTGGTCCCCTGTGCTAGGGATTATGTGTAGGTACCTCACCACTTGCCACTATAACATTCTTTAAAAGGTGGGGAGAGGAGGACCTAAGGTGCAGAGGTCTTAAATAATAATTTGGAAGTTCTCAGTTGAGAAGGTTATAGAAAAAACAGAAATATAGTTTGTTTTTGGACCCAAGTTAAATCTAAAGCAGTAAGCTAAGTATTGTCACTTGGAAAAGAAATGCTGATTGCAATTTGCATATAGTTTTCTTTTTCCTTTATTGCTCCTTAGTCTAAGACATTAATTTTTATAACATTTTGTAAAATTCTGATGTTACATGATACAGATTACAGAAATATGAGTACCTTAAATTTTCAATTTTGTTTTGTTTTTGTTTTTTAGTTTCTCTGAATTCCTGGCTGTCCTGGAACTCATTTGTAGACCAGGCTAGCCTGGAACTCAAAGAGATCTGCTTGCCTCTACCTCCCGAATACTGGGATTAAAGGTGTGCCACCACTGCCCAGCAGATTTTCAATAATGTATCTTGAGTTGGAATTATATGCCTGGGGTGCAGATTACTGTGTTAGTCCGAATGCAAAGTATTCTTTTGTATTCTTAGAAATGGTTATGTGGAGATATGAACCCAAGGCCCTTTCCATTGAGTACCAGCCAGTCTGCCCATTTGTTTTCACAAATTACCCTACTGATGCTTTATGCAGATTTTTGAAGGCCAGTGTTTCTACTAATTAGTGATTTAGATTTCATAAACTGATAATTATCTTTTTGTGCTGTTTCCTTGTATATAGGAAATGATTTATTGGTAAATATTTAAGGGTTATACTTTGAGGTAGGAGAAGGTGGCAGAAGTGAGCAGTAGCACCTATACAGGGTAGAGTTTACCTTTAATCCCAGCAGAGGCAAGTGAAGTTGGCCACATAGAGAAACCTTGGATTAAGCCAGAAAAGATGAAAAGAAACAGAAGCAAATATAGACATAGCCCTTGTCAGGTTTTATAAATTTACTTTCACTATATTTTTTGTCAAAGTCTCAAGTATAGCTCCGGCTGGCCTTGCTTCTTCAATCTCTGTTGGGATTAAAGGTGTGTGAAACCATATCTGGCTCCAGTACGTCTTTGTTGATTTTGAAATGCTATTCTGCAGTTCAGAGCAGAAGTGTCTAAGGTCAGTGAGATAGTCAAAACTGTTGCATGATTTATCCAGCCTCCCACTTTTCTCAGGGCCCATTTTCCTTCTTTAGCTAAGTAATTTAATATACCCCAGAAAATGGGTTTTAAAATAATTTTTTCCTGCACTTTTCATATTTAGGAACAAGTTCCCGTTCCTGTCTATCATCCAACACCTAGCCAGACTCGGCTAGCAACTCAACTGACTGAAGAGGAACAAATTAGAATAGCTCAAAGAATAGGCCTTATACAACATCTGCCTAAAGGAGTTTATGACCCTGGAAGAGACGGATCAGAAAAAAAGATCCGAGAGTAAGTAGTAAATTTGTATTTTGAAGATTTGTGTAGCTTTTTTCTTTTTGATACTGGAGATTGGACCTAGGTGTCCACCATTAAGCAATGTCAGTGGTAGGAGAGAATTCTGAAAGGAATTTTTTCAAGCCTAATGAGGAATTTCACTGTCTTGAGATTTAATAGGGACAGCTATTTTGAGGAATATCAACAGAAATTATCCAATTTACTGTGTTAATGTTTGTCTATATAGCACCATTTAATTAATACCGGTACTTAAGAGCAAGATCTGCCTAGAACACTGGCTTTGAGCTAGTACTCTAGAGTAGAACTGGATTTCTTCTTAGACTATAGAAAAGTGCAGTGGACTTGAAAGTGTTAGGACGACAGTTTTAACTTAGAGCATCAATGTGAGTAGACCAGAATTAGTCATTCTGTTTTTGCTTTGTTTTTGAGTCAGTCTTTTACTATATAGCCCTGACTGGCTTGCTTCTGTCCTCAAAGTACTGGAATTATAAACGTGTACCACCACCACAGGCCCAATCATTCTCTTTTTACATATAATGAATTTAATATAATGAATATACTCCTGTTTACCCTGAACTCAGTGCAAGGAAACAGTTGACTTGATTTCCTACCTAAAGCATCATAGTAGATGTGTCCTGTAATTAACTGTTTTCAGGCACAAAATGAGTTTGACCCTTAATGTAGTTCTCTTTGCTCAGTTAGTTGCTCTCAAGGCTTATGAATTAACAAGAGATCAAAATAAAATAATATTGATGGATCAGTGCATGTTAGGAAAATTTCAGTTTGCATGCTTTTGGTAATGAGTTAATGGGTAGCTTTAAAAATTTTAAAGATTTATTTATATTTTGGTTTGTATTTTGCTTGTATATGTATGTGTGCATTTGGGTTAACCCTGTCTTTGTAAAGAATTCTGGAATAGGCTACTTAATGAAAATTTCTGATTTCTTCCTTGTCCCCACAGGTGTGTGATCTGTATGATGGACTTTGTTTATGGGGACCCAATTCGATTTCTGCCGTGCATGCACATCTATCACCTGGACTGTATAGATGACTGGTTGATGAGATCCTTCACGTGCCCCTCCTGCATGGAGCCAGTTGATGCAGCACTGCTTTCATCCTATGAGACTAATTGAGCCAGGGTCTCTCATCTGACTTCAAGTGAACCATCACTTTTGGTGGTTTTGATCTTTTGTCACTGAGCCCAAAGAGCCAGGGATTAGGAATTAAGATCATGCACAAAAGTTTCCTAAAAATTCCTGGATGGCTGCAGATGTTGAGGAAAGTATGTGATATTTTAGAAACTTATGGGGGAAAGTAGGATGGATCGTATTTTTATGTAAAGCCTTGACCCAGTGTTTATAATTGTTATTAGACCTTGTTCTTGCTCCACTACATAGGAATTGTGTAAAGTGTAACAGCAATTGTACATGTTTAAATTGTGTGTGTTGAAGATTAGGAAAAAGATAGTTGTTATTTTTCCTAAATGAGATAAGTTTGTTCTCCCTTCCACCCAAATTCTTTTATGAAGCATTTGGGTCAAGGTTTTATTAAAAGCTACATTTTATAACACTGGCACAAAAAAAAAGTAGTTTTAAGCTTGTTTGCACAGTTCTTTTTTTCCATTGGAAATGGAATTCATTGCCTTAGGTCTTTTTAAATAGTGTATTATTATCGTTGGGGC